ATCCTGGCACCTTGGTTCGGTGTTTCATAACGCCACACACACACACACACACAAACATACACACACAAACACACACACACATACACACACACACTCACACACACATACACATACACACAAACATAAACACAAACATGCCCACACACGAATGCGCACGCACATGTGCACACCCATATAGACACACACTCTTCCCTCACACATCATCTTTTCCTCAAACATCTGTACACATAACCATAAAAAATGACAAAACTTCACAAACGACAGAACGTGTCAAAGAGGAACACTCCACTCAAATCAGAATTAGAATGATCTATCAAGTCACTCAAAGAGAAGAAAAGTCCAGGTCGGGATAGCATACATGTGAAAAAACGATGAAAGCAACTGGAGAAGAGGGAATAATAAATGTTTACCTCAGGCAATGCACGAAGATATCGGAGAGCGTACCATGGTCTGCAACTGAAAGATGACATTCTTCTTACCGTTGTCAAAGAAATATGATCTGCAACTACATTCCAACTACAGCACAACGTCGCTGATCAGTCAAGGAAGTAAATTCTTAGTGAAGGTCGCTGTAATTTTTTTTAAAAACTAATATAACAAGAGGAGAAAGAAAGACACAGGCAGGCTTCAGAAGGAACAGAGGGACGAGGGGGAACAATACATATACGCTTATTCAACCTACTCATGATCGTTCAGAAGTATTGGGACGTATGCCAATTTGCACACGTGTTTTATCTTTGAGTATTCAAAATTATTTGATTGTGTAAGCCAGAAAATGATGTGACAAACTCTACAAGAAATTAAGTTATTCCTATAACTGGTTGATTTTATCAAAAATATATATGGAGAACTGCACTTGGCCTCAGAATAGTTTCCAATTACGAAAATCGTGAGACTACATCATATTTGAGGCATCGTGGTGAAATCAGGCGCTCGCCAAAATATTGAAATCAAAGAAGATTTTACTGAAAAACATTGATAAAAGGTTTAAAAAATGTACACTTTTAGCTTTCAAGGTCTCTTCAGCTATGGAAGTTAGCAAACTTTGGATGCCATTTTCTCGCTAATTGTACCTCTGACGCCAGATGACCCTCACCTCCTTCAATTGCAAATATCTCGATTTCTCTTCAATGTAGATGGATTTTGTTTGCCAAAAGCAAGGCATATTAACAGGCTTTAAGATGATACCAATAACCATATATATGCCCAAAAATTGACGAGCGCCTGATTCCACCACGTCATGCCACACATACACGGGAGTCAGAAAATGACTCAAGAAAGGATGAAGATGACGAACCAGCAATGCAAGAAATTCATTTGTGAAAGAGAATGATACTGCACTCTTTGCTACCACACCAAGTGGGGTTGAGAATCTAATAAAAATCTGTCAAAGAACACAGGATAAAAAAAGAATACATCTAAATGTAAAGAAGATCAAAATCATAGGCATGTACATGTGCAAAGAAGAGGCTATAATGGAATCTGATGGGGAAGAAACTGAAAGTATAAATAGTATTCTGAATACCTTCGAGCAAGGATGGGGCAAATGGGAAAATAAACCCAGAGAATAAGCGCAATTGCAGCATCAAAACTCAAAAAGATAACACCTATCTGGGAACGACCAGGCAAAAATGCAAGAATTAAAGTTATGAGAAGTACTACGTATGGATGTGAAGCATGGGCTATCAATGAACAAGATAAAAAAAATAATCTAGCAGCTTTCGAAATGAAATTTTATAAAAAAGACTCTTAGAATATCGCGAAGACAGGCATTTTTATTTTAGAATGAAGAAGCAAACTTAGAAGAATTGGTTTAGAAACACTAGCACTCCTACAAAACCTGAATTTAAACAATTTTGGCATATTATCAACCGCCGTGGTTCACTCAAGAAAAATATTCTGGAAGCAAAGGTAAAAGGCTAGAGGAGGAAGGGGAATACCTAAAAAAAATGGGAACAAGACATTAGAAACTGGCTTGGAACAAAACAACTTAGGCAGGCAGAACCGCAAAAGACATGTTGTTCTGTACATAAAGGCCCGAGAAGCAGCGCTCGACTGCTGGAAAGGCTAGGGAAAAACATATGGCACAAGAACGTTTGGTATCGTCGATATTAGATATTAGTTTAGTTAAGTTTAAGTGAGAGTTTTACAGCTCTTGCAAAACAATCAGGCCATATAAGTGCCGAAGATTAGAGGTGTTACTACAGAGTAACATACAAAAAAGGAGGAGGAGGTAAAAACGATAAATGTTTGATTGGAAAGAAGGAGAAAACCACACCAGACCACAGGCTAACCTTAAAACTCTTCGATCTTAGAAGGGCTGAGAAATTGATTACTGATACTTTGATGGTATGCAAAGTGAAATTGATTGCTAGGTCTTTATGTGAGTGGCACTCACCAACGATTTTACTGTAAGGGTTAATGTGTCAGACTTAAGCATTACCCTTGATCTGGCCTGATTGCATATTGCCTTATAACCCCCACCCCTCCACCGACTCAAAAAAGAAAATAACAACAACAACAACAACAACGAAAACAACAACAACAACAACAGCAACCAAAAATAAACCCCCCAAAAAACAAAAACATACACCCAAAAAATGTTCGTCAGCTACCCCTGAAGTAAACTTCCTTTGTCGAGATGAACGTATTACTAAAATTTAAATTTTATTTCTCCTTTCCTCTCTCCAGGTCGGCGACCTTTCACCTGTTTCCTGCCGCGCAGACTCCGTTCCTGTCAATGCGTTGTCTTGGGAGTGGCTGCAATCAACGTCATCATCTTTGTGACAGTTTTCCAGGGGACAGCACCCAGGAGGGCAGCAGGGGATGGCTCCGCACAGATTAGAGGTCTGCTGGACGCTGGTGATTACGCAGTCTCATCCAGGTATGGTTTGGGTTGGGTTGGGTTAGGTTGGGTTGTGTTGAGGCCTGGGTTCGGTTTGATTTGGTTTAGATTGGGTTGGGTTTGGGTTGGGTTGGGTTATGTTGGGTGGCATTGAAGTCTGGGTTTGGTTTGGTTTGGTTGGGGTTAGGTTGGGGTAGGTTGGGTTGGGTTGAAGTCTGGGTTGGGTTTGAGTTGGGTTGGGTTGGATTGAGGTCTGTGTTTGGTTTGGTTTGGTTTGGGTAATTTGATTCGATTTGTTTTGATTTAATTTGGTTTCCTTTGGTCTAGATTGGTTTGGTTAATTCGGTTAATTTAGTTTTGGTTTGTTTTAGTTTTTAGGCCTACTAGAAACACGAATGGCAGGCGTAAAAAAATCGACCCTCATTCTGGAAAAGAACATCAATAACAGCGAGGACAGCTGTAACAGCAATCTATGCCGTAACAACAACAGCGAGAACGTCTTTCATTCAACAACAACAACAACAACAACAACAACAACATAAACAGTAGCAGAGTGAAGCGATTTCGGCAAACACCCCTTTACAGTTTGTTTCTCTGTTTTTTTATTTTAATTTCTATGAAATTGTCTGTTTATGGTTGTTTTCTTCCCTTTTCTCCCTATTTCATTGATACACAGTGTACTGTGTTTGCTCTCTCTCTCTCTCTCTCTCCTCTAGGTTGACAGCGGGACAAACAAAATACAGAAACCGGCTGATCGTAGACAACGCGGCTGAGCGGCGTTTCACTGGAGAGATCAGCGAGAAAACGTTATGTGGATATCGCACCACTTCCTATATCTTCAACATTCCTATCACTCTGAACCAAGATCCATTTGAAGAGTATGCCAAAAGCATGCAATGTTTAGCTGACGACAACGCCGCTCTTTTTTCTGGAATGTTCGCTGCTTTCCGAAACGCCGTCATTGATCCCTCCCTTGGGACCAGCAAACGGAAAGGGGGCGAGCTGATGGACGAGGTGTGGGATCAGAAAGAGTCCGACGAATACTTCCATCTATCGTCAGGATATTTTAAAATTCCGTGTAGACGTAAACCGAAAATGTATTTCAAAAATAAGGACCACCTAGTGCAGTGGGCCAATAGTTTGGAATGTTATTTCGACAACCCTCCAACAGACATCACCATCAGAGACTTCACGTTAGCCATTCAGCGTTACGAGTACGTCAACTTGTACCACACAATGACTGATTTCTACAACGCCTTCGTCCTCATGCTGCTTTTCGGGGTCCGTCCGTCCAAGATGAATATTCTGTTTGTGGATACTCATCCGAAAGGACATCTGGATACTGTGTGGAGTACACTTTTCGGGAAGATAATTAGGGCGGGTCATCTCAACAAACCCGTTCTGTTTCATAGTTTAGGCTGGGGCATGCTGGGATACTTCAGTCCTTTAAACGAGCACAGCCGAAAAGCAGTGCCATACCTCGAAGAATTCCGAGAGTTTTTTCTAACGCAACACAACGTCTCCACATCTCACCAACTGGACTGCAAGAAAGTCAACGTATTGTTCATTTGGCGCCGCGACTATGTGGCCCACCCTCGTAATAAACAAGGCAGCGTCGTCCGGAAGTTTGCCAACGAGGAAGAGATGCTTGAGCAGACGCAGAAGACTCTGGGAGGAACAGCCAACGTCCAGGGCTTCCAGCTTGACCTGATGTCCATGAAGGACCAGCTGGAGGTGGTCTCCAAGTGTGACATCTTGGTGGGCATGCATGGGGCTGGTTTGTCCCATACATTATTCCTCCCACCCACGAGTGGAGTTCTAGAGCTGAAGCCTCAGTATTCTCCATCCTCGCTTCTTCATTTCGAGGCCATGGCGCGATGGAGACAGCTGCCATTCTCCCTCTGGCACAACACGGAGAGTTCAAACGAACAGAAAGAGCACAGGACCTATATTCCACCCCTAGATCTGGACGAAGAAGTCAAAAAAATATATTCAAAAATATGCGGAACGGGATAGCGCATCTGAGAATACAGAGCAGTACTTAAGACTTTGAATGTGGGTTGTTTGGAGGGTGTGTAGATCGACAGTGCCTATCCTAGAAGTGCAACTACAGTTTGGTTATTTTGTATATAGTTTGTTGTTGTTGTTGTTGTTGTTGTTGTTTTTGTTGTTTTTTGTTTGGTTTTTGGTGTTGTTGTTGTTTTTGGGGGGGGGGGTTAAGAATTGAAATATTCTTTGTTGGAGGAAGTATGATGAGCTCCAGAGTGATTTTATGTGCTTTTCTTTTTAGATGGTTATAGCAGCATCGGGCTATCTATGTTCCTGATTGTCTCCATAATTGCGTGTTACATATTAAATGCATTTCAGAAACACAAATAGACAGGCAAATAGACAGACAGAAAGACACACAGACACACAGACACACAGACACGCAGAAAGACAGACAGACACACAATGATTGGGTGTACATGTTTTAAGCCCCAATTTAGTATATTTTGGAGGCGGGTTTCTTCCATCCTGCTGTCAGCGCTAACCTGGTCTGAGCAGTATAGAGCATCCAAGCTGAAAGACGGAGAACGAAGACTTTTACATTCGACAATTGGACCACACTCTTGGTTACTATCACGCCAACAGACCCTGGAGAAAGAAAGAGAGAAAGAGAGAGAGAAAGAGAGAGAGAGAGAGACAGAGAGAGACAGAGAGAGACAGACAGAGAGAGAGAGACAGAGAGACAGAGAGAGAGAGAGAGAGAGAGAGAGAGAGAGAGAGAGAGAGAGAGAGAGAGCGAGAGATTTGTTACTCTGAAGGATAAGTCTTTAGTAGAAGTACTTCTATGCTATCTATAGAACTTAATGTTTATGAAAGTAGCTTGCAATTACTGCACTTCTGGGGGTGTTTAAATTTTGTTTCATTTGATAAATGTGGTGATTCTTAATTAATTTGCTGCGTGTATGATCCAAGCCAACGTTGGCATGTTAAATTTACACACCTTTGGCATGTGTCAATGTTACATTCCAATGAGATTTCCTGCTTTATTTTTATATTAACTGTGATATAATATGGTTGAGTACATGATACTGAAAAGTGTAGGTGCCAATACATAGCTCTGCTTCACTCCATTTGTTACCTAAACGGCTCGAAACATTTCAGCATTGCTCTTCACAGTGGCTTTAATCCTGTCAGGAAATTGGCGAACCATAATAATTAATTTTCGCGGGCACACATACTTCGCCTGGATTTTCCGTAAGCCTACCCAACCAACGGTGTCAACAGCCTTTGTTAAAGCAACAAAGGTCTTTTGGGGTGGAGGGGGGAGGGGGAGGGCTGAGTACTATGCACTTTCCCTTGATCAGTCTGGCGCAAAGATCATGTCGGATGTGTCCCTTTCGGTGTGGAAGCCACACTGACTTTGGGACAGGGCACCATTAATTCAGACGGAATGCTTTAGTTGGTGATGAAGAAGAATTCGGACCAGGATTTCATTTTCAGTGGGTATACACAAGAGAGATATGCCTCTGTGTTTGTCACAAGAATGCCTGCAATGTTTGTCTTTGTGCTGTTGAATAAGGGTTGCATATCTGTACTCTTAGGGAGTACTTTCAGATTCTCACATTCGATAGAATAGTTCTGTCATTGCCTCACTAAGATCTCTATCAAAAGCAATAAATACTTCTGCTGGAATAGAGTCAGTGCGAGAGGCTATATTTAGTTCATGGCATTTATGGCACTTCTGGGGGTTTTTTACGTGTTGGGAACCACTGAAGGGGGTATTTAGTGGGATTTTCGGGAGGAGTTCGGTTTTCAATTGACCCAGAATTGATACTTGAACGTCCATTTAGAACACTCTCAACGTGTTCGACCCAGCGTTTCAGTATTGTATTCTTGCCAATGATACGCTTGGAACCAACATGGTTAAGAATTGTTGAAGTACCTAAACGAGATGAACTATAGATATAGCTTCAGCTCAAATAGAATCCATGATCGTTGTTTTAGCTTCCCCCCCTCCCTCAACCGCTGTGTCTTATTTTCTTAAGTAGTCCTTTGCAAGAGTATCATAGTCCTCTGTTCTTGAATGAGATCCTTATCACCCTTTTTACTTTCATCAAATCTGGTCTAGTCGCGGTTATAATGACTGGGAAAGTCGATTGCTTCGGACGTTGTTGTTATAGATCATGTCTTTAAGTAAAGCACAGTTGCTTCCAATTTAATAGGGGGTGAAGGAGATCTCATTCGTTTAGCATTCTGGCGTTTCGAGAGTTATTTGAAAAGATGCGGGGTGGGGGGGGGGGGGGGGTTAATGCTAATTAATGTCAAGTACTTTGGGAATTGGCTTCCCTTGAGGATGCTTTATTCGATATTGACTCATGCTGACTTTGTTGACGATCATTCTATGGTCAGTTCCTCGTTCTGTACCGCACACGACACGGGTGGTCGTCTCTGACTGCTGGACTTCCTGGACAGTGGCATTATACAGTCGACAACGGTTGGGTTGTCCTGGATAGTGGCATTATACAGTGAACAACGGATGGGTTGATGTCGGCAGGGGAGTAAAAGCAAGATCAATATATGCCGAAGTTCAACTTAACCGTGTGTTAAGAAGAAGAGGTGCTGGGGCCCTGAGAAAAGATCAAATTAATCCAAGATCAACTCAAACGAGTTCAATACAAGAGGAATCGACTGCGCTATAGAAAGACGCAAGGAGGGAAGCGGGAAAATGTCGTTTGTACTTGTGATTGACTTGGACAAGTGCTCATCAAATGTCTCTTATTGAATAATAGGCTACATTTTGTATGGCCGTGTTGTCTCTACTTCAGTATTCAGCCCCTGTCCGGCGATACTGCAGGGGTACAACAAAGTATTACATTTCACTAATTCAAAAGAGTTGTTCCTCCAAGTAGCCTTGGCGGAATAATATACGATAGATCCTTCGACCGTGCCGATTTTTTAAAGTCTAGTAAAATAGATTCTGCTAATCCTAATTAGCTGTTTTTTGTAAATATAGAATCGCCCTTGTCAACCCTGGAATAATAGCTTCTCTCAAAGCATGCACAAAGTCAAGTCTGACAATAATATATTATTTACGATATGCTTCAGTATACACGTTTTCAAAAAGGCTTTGATGTCATCTTCTTACTCTACTTTTACGTCTTTCCTTCAGTGTCGCTGGAACAATAATTGTCTGCCAGCTGCGAGTCCTGCGGCTTTGAGGAGGATCAGATCGTGGGCCCTGGGTGTTCTTTACAGAGTCGATCCAACGACGTAGACATCCCTTTATGTCTCCGGCCAGAGTGTCGTGTGTAGTAAAATGTTATCTCCAGACGGCATTTAATTTACATACAAGTAACTTACCGTACCGTGCAAGGATAGGGTACATTAGATGTATTTAGAAGCCACTTAATTATCTACCAGAAAGCGTTCAGGAACATTGATCAGAAAGTCGCTAGTCACGGAGGAAAGTCAAAAGAGTCTCGGACATTGCTCCCTTATTGCGGCTGGCTGGGTTTGAAGACGATCTCTTTCTTACTACAATCACTATTGTGATCGGGTCGGCTGCTATGTATCAACAATAGGACATGTTTAAGCACTCATATATTTGGAGGGTTTTTATTTTAGATGGAGTGTTTTACTCTCGGGGTTTTAGAACCGGTATAAATCTATAAATCTCTTTTTCTCTCTTCTTTGGTATGATTTCCCTTTGGTTGTTGGTTTGTTTGGAATTCGCTTTTCGGTGAGCCTTTCATTCCTGTTCGTTTTTTTCCTTCAGTTTTATAGAGGAGGAAATGGAGGAGGGGTCGAGTTTAACTGAGTTGGTGTCGGGTGGGTGCGTGCGTGTCCGCAAGGAGGGGGGGGGGGGATGTTGTCCTTCCATTTGTTAGGTCAGCTGATTTCTGTCACAAGGTTCATTCGAGGCATTAAGAAATGAAACTACACATTTTAGCAGAAAATATTCCAGAGAGATAACCTACGTCGTTCATATATACTAGCCTAGAGCTTTATTATTTTTTAGAATTTCAGTTCCTTAATCTTTGATATCAGTTGCATATGGTCGTCAAATATTTTACCTGAATTCGGATTCTTAATGCTGAAAAATGCAAAGAAAAAAAACATATTATAAGTAAAAAATTTTAAAGAACTGAAACAGCTTTTGTCTGTCTCTTGAAACATGTTGCTACTGGACTTATAACAGTTGAACAGATTTCTGACGTCATCTTTCCATAACCGTTATCATTTCTAGCTTTTATTGCTTTTTTCCCTTGAGATTGACGCCATCTGATTCGTGAGAAAAGGTGCGTATTATGTACATAATAATTATTTTAACAAGTAACTGTTACAGATTCAAGGAATATAGATGTATGTCGAGGATTAAGAGCAATGATAATTTTTAGATATGTTGGTGGTAGTGAGTGATGATGTGAGACGGTGTTTATGGGAATAAGTATTGAGGAGATATGCGTTCACTCACTGTTAGCTGAGATTTTTTGTTGATGATGTTGGTGGGGGTTTTTTTATATTAGCTTATCGCCTGGAATTGATTACCATTATGAAAAAGCAATCGATTCGCACTTCCTTTTAATTTCCGTTAGTTTCATATCAGTAAAAAATTTAGAATACGGATTCAAGCGCTTGTGTGATATGAACAGCCTACCCCATTGGCTTTAATGACTGTGGGAGAGGAATAGTTTACCGAGCCTAGCTCATGCTTAGGTTGCTATGAACGCGATGGATAATTCAGCCTCCAGTCCGATCGAAATCGAAGTTTGCCAATCAGCGCCTTATATCCCAAGCGCACTACGTGATCTAGATTCACACGCCTTATCGATAGCCACCAGCACTTAATTGGGTATAGATCTGAAAGCATGCTTGCCCCGTGCTACCCAAATTCACGTTACTGGCAACATCTGTAATACAAGTGATACACTCCACACGCCGCGTCAACGCATCTTTTCAGTTCTATCTTTAGTGTGAGATTTATAGCACTTGCAACACTGTTAGGTCATAATAATTATACGTGCCGAAGATTAGAAGTGTTACAAGAGAGTAA